CCCCCCGGGCCGGTACCTGCCATGGCTCCGCTCAGCCCCGGTTCCTGTTGTTCCTCCCCTCGGCGCAGGATGAATCAGACACTGGGGCTCCGGCGGCCGCTGCTTCCCAGCACGTGATGATGCGGCCCCGCTTGTCTCCGCCTCCCGCTCCCCAGCCGGCCGGGGACACCCAGCCCCGGGGAGCCCCGCCGGGGAGGGGCCCCGGGCCGGGAATGGAGGGTGCATGGAGCCCCTGGGGTGGAGATAGGATGGGGGTGCCTGGAGCTCCTGGGTGGTGGAGGTGGGGGGTGCATGGAGCCCGTGGGGGGAGATTGGGTGTGGTGGGGGGTGTATGGAGCTCCTGGGTGGTGGTGGTGGAGGTGGGGGGTGCATAGAGCCCGTGGGGGGAGATTGGGTGTGGTGGGGGTGCATAGAGCCCGTGGGGTGGAGATAGGGTGTGGTGGGGGGGTGCATGGAGCTCCTGGGTGGTGGAGGTGGGGGGTGCATGGAGCCCCCCACTTTGCAAACACCGGATCCAATCGGTTGCAGGTCCCTAGCTCCCATTTGCCCTGCTCTCACCACTAACTCACCCTCCCCTCCAGAGCTGGGAATAGAACCCAGGAGTCCTGACTCCCACTTCCCCCCCCCCTGCTGTAACCATTAGACCCCACTCCCCTCCCTTATTCATTTAGAATCAACTCATTTGTCCAGCAGTTACTATTTCCAGGGTCCTGGGGTCTGTTCCCAGCCCTGTCCCTGACTCTGGCTTGCTCACTCCGTGCCTCAGTTTCCCCCATTTGTACATCAGGGCGGGGAGAGAATATTAACCCCTCCCCCCCCCCCAGCGCGCTGTGAGGATAAATTAACCTCTGAAGGTGAAAGGCGCTGTATTTATTTGTAACCTCGATGCATAAGCCAGGGGCGGCCCCATCAGCCGCTAACCCTGTGCTGTGGGGCTGCGGTGGAAAGGCGTGATACCGCCATTCTGCCACCAGAGGGCGCCTGCTCCTCGTGGCTTGGGCATTGTCACTCAGCCGGGCAGAAGACATGAAATCAATATTTCTCTAGCAACAAACAGGACCCAGACGCGCTGTCTTCCTGTCAGGTGCACGCAGGGCTCAAGGGGGCAAAATCCAACCCCAGCCACAGATAATACAGACTATTCACTCTCCACGAGCCAGCCACCCAAGACTGGGCCTTAAAGGGCCAGCGCCACCTTGAAATGGCTTCAGTTTCAGAACAGGAGTCTGCAGCTGCCAGTTTTCTTGTGGTTTTAATTTTTTTCCTCTCTCCTGTGTCTGTGTGAAAGACCCACACAGACCACAGGGCCGGCAGCGACACTGGCTGAAGGCAGCGTCCTGTCAAAAGCACAAAGCTAGAGGAAAACAGACAAGAAACCATTTTTCTCCTTTAATCTCTGGCAGGCCATGCCAATCTCTGGCAGTTGCTGGAGGTAACAAACAGGTGATTAGACGCACAAGGTTGATTTTGAAGTGGACATTGCCCCCTCTGTAGTTCTAATCGTTCTAATCTCTGAACCGATTCATCTAACTGGCACACACCAGAGTCAGTTCCAAGAAGGGCAAGAAGCTCTGACCAGTGGTCCAGGCCAATTATGCAGCCAATCAATTTTTGACCCCATTGGTGCATGAAATGTGGGGCAAGGGACACAACCAATAAAAGCAGGAGACTCGGGAATTAACTGATCTTGGATTAGATCCAGATTTTATTGCAAATGCTTTGGGGCAGAGACTTATTATATGTTTGTACAGCGCCTAGCAGACAGGGAACATCAAACAGGCTGAAGCCCCGTGGGTACTACGAGCAGGATAAATTGATAACACTCCCATTGACTTCAGCCTTCATCTTTTGGTTCCTTAAGTCCAGTACCCTTTAAACCATTTTTCTGCTAAGATTTGTTTTCCTTAAGGGTTTGGGAGGAATTCCAGGGGTCGATAGATGGAGTTAAGGCCGGAAGGGTTTGATTGGACGCACTAATAGTTCATTATCCTCTTTTTCTTTTTGCAGCCAAAAGCCACTGGAAACAAACTTGCAAGATGCAAAGTTAGACTCATATGGGATCTGATCCTACAACTGAATTTTGCCAGGCAGACCCTTGCATCTGCCTGGATCTGACGGCAGGATCGGGCCCAGGCGGTGTACAATTTTCAGATGTCAAATGCCCCGCTTGGTTGCCAGTTTCGGCTCTGTCAGTCATTTGAGAAACTAATTGGACATGCAATGATCGTATTTGATTCTATTTCTGGCTCTCCCCTTTTGCGGTCCTTACAGCCCCAATCTGACCTTCCTTCTGAGAAAATAATGAATAGGGTCTGAGGCTTTTAAAAAAAAGAAACGATCTTGCCTAGTGACTAACTTGAAATTGGAGTTCATAAGATATACAAAGAGTTGGAAATGAAAGTGAATATGTGTAAGAGTTAATTACAATTGAAACAATCTAATCCTTCCTGGCCTATTTATGATCATTATTATGAACTGGGGTTCTCCTGGTGTTTACTGGGGAGCGTGGTGTTCGGTCATCACTTGGTGCTTGCAAGAGATCGCTTTATGGGTGTCTGTCCCAGGGCCTGAGCATAACAGGAGCGGCACAATGCCCCGACCAGCCTCTCCTTCTGGGAAGCTCAGCCCTTAACCCCATAGCCCCAGTAACACAGGCTGGATCTGAATTTTGACCTTCTCATGGTTGGGGAATCAACAATTCCTGTTTTCAGCTCTGCCAAGTTCCTCATTCTGCTGCCAGGTTGAGAAGAGTTTTGCCCGTGTTTTTCCGGGGATTTCCTTTAGTTGCTTAGTTACTTCTTTAGGGTTCCAGCCTGTGCTGTTAACTCCATGGGAGCAGGCCCATGGGCTTGGCTTATGCTGAGATTCCCCCCTAAAATCTCTCCCCGTTGCGCCAGTGGGGCTCTGGTGGGGACAGGCCGCTGGCCTTTTAACCAGCGCTCTGCTCTGAGCAGGGTTGGGGTGGGGGTGGAGGCGGGAGCGAGACGCAGCGGCCCATCTTAGGGAGCCACTGGCTCTAGTGCTGGGGGGAGCTGGCAGCTTCTGGGCAAGAGGCAGAGGCTGCAGGAGGGGAAGTGCAGGCTCTGTGGCATGGGGCCAGGGAGATGGGAAGTGGCAGGAGTCCAGGGAGCGTCCTCAAATACCCGCACTTTCACAATCTCCATCTGCAGGCCAGGGAGCAGGGGCTGTGTGAGTCCTAGACTCCGTTCAGGGAATCTCACGGCACCCAGCAGGGCATACTAAGTGATGCCATCACATCAGCCTCGGGCTACTACGGGTGGGTACCTGGGAAGCTCTCAGCACCCCTCCGGCTGCATTTCTAGCTGGGAGAAAGCATCCCGCTCTCTCCGCCCGTCCCACCAGCCTCCTGATTGTTGGGGTCAGCTCCTCTCCTCCTCCCCTAGCATTATAGCTTCGGGGAGGGGGGACTATACTGCTGCTCTCTCCCTCTCCCAGCCCCCTTTATTTGTGGGTTGGGGTCCTGTCCCGTGAATGGGACCTTAACATGACTGTTGCCCCCTTGTTCAGCATAGCAGCTGTGAAACCGACGCGGACAGGAACCAGGCCCTACAGACAAACTGCAACATTCAGGCCCAGGCAGTGGTCGGGAACAGGAACCGTACCAGCCGACCACAGCGTGACCCCCTGTTGAAACGGGCCCTTGTTCAGGGTAGGAGAGAGGCTGGGTTTAGCGGCCATCCGCCCTCCCTCCTACACCGCAGACAGGTCCTTGAGCGTGTGGCTGCCGGCTCCGTTCGGGTGGAAGCAGCGGCTACTGGCTCTAATGTAACCGGCCTGCGCTCAGTATTGTCTCGCTGCTCCCTTGTGCTCTGTCTGTGTCCACCTGTTGGCTCCGATCTTATGCTGAAACTGGAAGCTCTGTGGGGCAGGGGCTCTCTCTGTTCTGGGTTTGTGCAGGGAAGGCCCTAGGCGGGGCAGGACAAATAATAACCCTGCTCAGTCCAATGCCGGCTTGGCGGCGCTTGCATGAAAACCGAGATCACCAGATCAAAGCAAATCACCTCCCTGGTGGCGGGTGGCCTGACTCCAGCTCCCCGGGTTTGTGTGCGGGGGACATTGGTTCAGGGGGCCGGATTCCCGCGTGCCCGGCGCGGTGCACAGAGCAGTGGGTAGCGGTGCTGGGCAGCCGGTTCAAGCAGACGGAAGGAGGGGAGTCTCGGGCCAAACCAGTTCCAGGAGGACGAGGGAGCTGTGTGGGGTTCTGCTTTCCCAGGCCAAGGGGAGGTGGGGGAGAAGTGTGTGTGTGTGGGGGGGGGCTCTGCTTTCCCAGGCCAAGGGGAGGTGGGGGAGAAGTGTGGGGGGTGGGAGCTCTGCTTTTCCCAGGCCAGAGGGAGGTGGAGGGGCAGTGAGGGGCTCTGCTTTCCCCAGGCTGGGGGGAGCA